TCGCTTGGTTTCCTGGAAACAGGTCACCAAAAGATAACATCAAGCTCCTTGATGCCTGCAACAAGGGCCTTGGATGTTAAGAAGATCGCCATCAAGGCACTCATCCCTGGAGACGGAGGTAACACTCTGGTGCTGGGATTAGAACACCTGAAGCTTATGGATTATCTTGGAGGGCCAGAATTTCAAACTTTTTTGTGGCGCCTGTGGCTTGTGTACAGTTGAAGGAACAACAAGAGACAACAGGGAGAAATCAATTCCTTCGCCCAGGGATCCTCCAAAGAAACAGTTGACGGAAGAAGGGGAGACCGAAAAGGAGTCGGAACCAGAGCCTTTCTTTGGAGGCTCTGGGAGAAGACACCTGAATAGGTTCTCCCTTGTCACTACTTCCTTTGAACTCGTAGTAATGCTAAGGATGCGGCTTTTAACTAAGTCTCTCCTAAAATCCCTTCAGGGTAAGTTCTTTTCTTCATTTAACCTGTTTTAATGGTTAAGGTTAGTCAGTTAAACTTGCAACATAGCAGAGCAGCTTCATATTTTTTTACAATTTAGCTGCTCAATTAGGTAAAGCAAGGACACTTTTGTTGCATTAATTCAAGAACCTTGGGTGTACAAGGGTAAAATCCTTGGTAGGCCCATGAACGCGCACTTCTTTTCGACAAAGGGACCTGATAAAACTAACCTGATGAACTAGCATTTACATTTCTAAAAATATAAAGGCTATGAAATTATCCCAATTTACATCAGAGGACTTAACTGCTATTGTAATTAAGGACATAAACAGTTCACTGAGAGGAAACATTTGTTTTTGCTCAGTTTACATGGCTTATGACCTTAACATTCTGCAAGAATTTATAGATCTTGTGAGCTTCTGTGAAATAAACAATATTCCTATGGTTATTGGTGGTGATGCTAACGCTCACCACCTGTCATGGGGCAGTTCTGATACTAATCCTAGAGGAGAAAAACTCATGGAATTTATAATGAATACCAACCTAACTTGGGTAAATAGGGGAAATCGCCCCAACTTTGTTAACAGAAGAAGAGAAGAAGTCATTGACCTCACAGTACTTCATCTGATATTTATAACCTTATTGAGAATTGGCATGTAAGTGACAATCTCTCACTTTCTGACCATCGCCTTATACAATTTTGTATTAGAGATGAAATTCCAGTTGAATATTTCAGAAACATTAAAAACACAAATTGGGACCTTTATAAGGATTTCCTGGTTTCTAATGTTATTAACCTTCAGGTTTTAGACAATAATTGTACAGTCGAGGAGCTTGATATTCAAGCAAACAACTTGACAAATATCATTATTGAATCTTATCATGCATCATGCCCTCTCAAACGAAGGAAGAGAGAGTTTGGTGGACCAAGAAGCTTGAAAGCCTCCGCCTAGAGGTTCGGAGAGCGCACAGGAAAGCTGTCAGAAATAAATCTGAAGTTAACTGGTCTAACTTCAAAATTCTACAAAGGAAATTTAAAAGTGAAATCAGGAAAACTAAATACAACTCATGGAGATCGTTCTGCACAGATATTCTGTCCTACCATGAGACTGCCAGAGTACATAAGATTCTTAAAAGATCTCAGGAGTCTCAACTCTCATCGGTTATGCGACCTGATGGCAGTTATACTATAAACCCTTTGGATTTACACTTTCGACCATGTTGAATTTTCATCTGGGGACAGAAGAGTGTCACCTCTGACCCCCAGGAAAATCCATTGGAACTACTTCATAATCCATTAGATCTGGATTTTGCTAAGACAATTGTGAATTTTGAAAAGGCTAAAGCGGCCCTTGATGTATTTCTTCCCTTTAATCTCCAGGGAACGATGCATTTACCCAATTCTGCTTCAGAAAGAAAGGCTGGGATATTTTGGTCACATTCTCGTGGACATATCAGGTCCAGTTTGATTTTAGGATATGTTCCTAAGGTCTGGAGAACTTCACGAGGTGTGTTTCTTCCTAAACCAGGAAAAGATACATATGAGAAACCAAACTCTTTTAGAATGATCACGCTAACATCCTTCCAGCTTAAGCTGTTGGAGCGATTGATTTTCTGGCACCTCCAGTCAGATAATAATCTGAAACATATCTTTGGCTTAGACCAACATGGTTTTAGGCCTGGCTTCTCTACCGAGTCAGCACTACACCAACTGGTGTGGAAAATAGAAAAAACAATTATATTGTGTGTGGAGCCCTACACAAACTCGGTGTGGAGAATAGAAAAGACAATATAGACGGACACTTCCCAATGGGATTCTACTGGATATTGCAGGAGCCTTTGATAACATCGGTTTCGAGAAAATACATAAGGCCCTTATCTGGAAGTCATATTCACCCTATGATACACCTAGATGGGTCATCTTTCATGTTTAAAAACAGGAATATCTGTGTTAGTCTCACTGACTATGAATTAAAGAGAGATATTACTAAAGGGTGTCCGCAGGGTGGTATTCTTTCTCCGTTCCTGTGGAACCTGGTTTTCGACTCACTCTGAGTACTTCTACGGGGGAGGAACCTGGCATGTCACAGGCTTATGCAGATGACCTTATTGTGTTATTACAGGGTTTCGATATCGGAACCCTACATAATCAAGCTCAGCAGATCTTAAATAAATTTTCACACTGGGGTGATACAAATGGCCTTTCTTTCTCTGCGGAAAAAATCTGAGGTCATAGTTTTCACGTGGAGAAGGAAATGGAAACTGGCAGATTTATATCTGGGTCACCAGATTATTAAGCGTAGGAATGTGTTAAATACCTAGGATGTTACTGGATAGTAAACTTACATGGATCACCCATATAAAAGAAAAGGCACAAACTGCCACAATGTTCTAGTACTTTGTAGGCGAATCTTGGTAAACAATGGGGCCTTAACCCAAATCTACTCTATGGATTATACTGCCATTGTCCGGCCAATGCTTTCTTACGGATGCGTGGTCTGGATTAATGTTATTAACAAAGCTCATATTTAAACATTTTACAAAAGGTGCAAAGACTTGCTTGCCTAAGCATTAGTGGGGCTTTAAATAGTACCCCTACTGCTGCATTAGAATTTTTACTGCAAATTCCACCCTTGAAATTATTCTTGAGCGAGAAGCAATTAAAGCCATGTATAGATTGAATAAAAATGGCACATGGTGCCAAAGGACAGGTTTTGGTCATAAAAGCCACCTGAAAAGCCACATTGACATATGCCTGGACTTGGGCAATGAGATCCCTATAATCTATATGCCCAAAGATGCAATTACTAAAACAATAGTTCCAGATAAACTATTTTCACAACTCATATACAAAAAGGAATGAGATAGAATCTCTAATTGACCTAATTCCAACAGGCTCAATTGAATGTTACACAGATGGATCAAAATCCAACTTCACTGGAGCTGGAGCTATTATAAGGACCAAGGGATCTGAAGAAGATTTCATTAGATTTCATCTATACCTTGGTAAATTTAACAACTGTTTTCCAAGCCGAGGTTCTGGCGATCAATATGGTCGCCAAGGAGCTCTTAGCTAAAAATACAGTTAATAAGTATATATATATTCTCTCTGACAGCCAATCAGCCATCCTTGCCCTGGCTAATCGTGTCAAGTTACAAAACTGTGTTTTGAAACTGTACTCAAGATCTCAATCTCTGGCTCAGGCCCATAATATCATTAGTTTAGTCTGGGGTCCCAGGTCATTGTGATTTTGCTGGAAATGAACTAGCCGATAAAGTAGCTAAAGATGCTTCGCAACTCCCCATGTCTGGCCCAGAATCATTTTAACCCAGTTTCATATCAAACGGTTAAAAAAGAAGTAAGAAGCTGGATAAAGAACAAACATGATGATATATGGTCTAAACTTCCAGACTGTGCTCATTCTAAATTGGTGCTCAGTACACTTAAACTTTTCAGGTAAACTCATACACCTCAGTAGAACTAACTTACGCCAGGTAATTCAAATTGTTACTGGACATGCTTATCTAGCTAAGCATCTCCACAAATGTGGTCTTGTTGAATCTCCTCTCTGCCCAGCTTGTGGAGAAGAAGAGGAAACATCTTTTCACTTTTTGGGACGATGTCCGGTGTTCTCTGTCCCTAGAAACAAATTCCTTGGGTTTTCCCTATATTACCTTTGATCAAGCCCTTTTATACAAAGGGCTCTCTGGCATAATAGGGTTTCTGATGTATACTAAACACCTACAGGTAAGGTGAATATGGAACCACAAGAAACAAGCTTTGAGACGACTTGTGAGTTCTTTTTTTTTTTTGAAAGAAACTATGCAGGGATTTCCCTCTCATAGCTGGTTTTGGAATATAATGATATCAAATCTTTATACACTACCTGGCCATTTGGCTTGAGAATGCACCTCTGCCCTCCTTATTTATTTATTTATTTGACTCTCCATCGCACTCTTGTTTGGTCAAGAATTGCGTTTGGTGGTTTGGGAGGGATTGAATCGGTTTTCCATCCAATAGGGAAGTTTTTACGATCCAGCCAACACCTTGAACTTAGAGATGGGATCTTTTGCTGATACTATAGATTTGGTGTCAGTTTGAGATCTTATCTATTTATTATTTACCTTTTACAGGAGTTACCATTTAAATCCCTTAACTTAAATGATCAAATGGCGGAAGAGTAATGGGCAATTTTGCCTAAACTCCTTTCCTTCTTTTCATAAGAAGGAAGCGCCCTATTGTTTATTGTTAGTACAAGGAAAGTATAAAAAAAAAACCTGATAGCACAAGATATTTGTTTTTAATGTTATATATACACCAATTATACCTTTGATATGTGAAAACGAGAAATAATATTCCTTTGATAATACTCACATCCAATGCATTTCATTAACTGAATCTTTCACGCTCCATACTACACTTTCATATAGTTATTGCAGCAGCACTGTTGCTTTAGTACTAGCTAAATCTTTATGACTACCTAAATCTATGTTTCATTTAGATAATCCATATATTTTATGAATTTCAGTAATGCATTTTGCTATACTAACCTTTTAATAAGGTCTTCATTCATAATTTCAGCATACTTACTTGTGAACCAAAGACATCTACCATACAGGAACTGGGATACTAAAGCATTGAGAAATTATAGCTATTAGGTTTATATTCACACATTTATTTAGATTCAGATTAATTAACAGATTCTAAAGCATGTGATTTCCAATCCATAATCATGCTTTCTTACATATGGAAAAACACAGATAAATAACCATTATATTAATAGTAAACAAGTTTAACTTAAGATCAAATAATACAATGAAAAACTCCTTGAATTATCCATTTAGTTTATCAGAAAATATTTTTTTCAATATTTAGCATAATCCGAATACAAAATCTTAAGCTATTCTTCAATTGATGACACAAACACACATAAATATCAATCAAAAAATTTCGTTAACAGAAAAATACGGTATTTTTTTCATCATTACATCATTACTCTCCAATAATTTTACTTCCCTGCCACTTTAAATTTCTTTCTGCCTAAATGGTAACAAAAGCAATTAATTTTTTTTAACTGAAAATTAGTTAATAATGACCAAAATAAACTAATGTTAACCCATTTATGCCAAAGGTTAAAAAATTGGAATTCTTGCATGAAATTTCTATATGTCAGGTAAAAAAATATAATAAACAATGATTTGAAGAATTTTTTTTTTAATATAATAAACAATGATTTGAAGAAATAAGAAGAATTTTTTATTTTAATTAGTTTACAAGTTATATATGGTGTTCCAAAAATGGAACACTACGGCAAAACCATTGCTATAATGTTACAATGTATAAAATCGTGGGTTTCCTCTAAAAATGTGGTTATTCCCATTACTCGGTATATGGTAATTGGAAGAACACTTAACATGTAAAGCCACATTACATTTTCCACATCGAAAAGTGGTGTTTTTATGACATTGAGCACAGCGAGTTTGCTTTCCTTGCTTTCTTTACGATCCTATGATTTATGCCATCATAGCGTGAATCAATTTTTCGCATCTGAGAGGGTTTTCCTTTCCTGCCAGGTTCTGCAGGATGACCATGAATCTCAAGATAATGGCATGCTATACGACGACGGAATTCTAAAAGATCCATTGGTTTTGCATCATAAGTTTTATGTAATTGCCAAGCATTTTGTAAGGCCAATTCGAAACAGAACAACAATGGACTTGAATAGCATTTCTTTCCACGAATTGATGCTCTGTATTTGTCAATGTTTTCGTCTGCTCTATCCACACCTCCCATAAATTGGTTATATACTTTTATCATGTTTGGCTGCTGAACTTGGATTTTCTTTTTTTGTTCTTGTGAATAACGATTTACAAGACACAGTGGATTTACACCAGCACCAGATGATGCAACAGTCACAACACTGTTGTCATGCCATCTACAGACAATATTGCCTTTGCCATCAACTCGATAACCGAATGAGCCTCTTTCCATTTTCTTTAGGGCAACATCCGATTGCAATGGTGGTTTATCAATACGACCTTTCCTAACTGTGCCTGTTGCCTGATGACCCATTGAAGGAAGTTTATCAAGCAGGGCAATACTTGTAAAAAAATTATCAAAAACCAAATGATATTGCCTAGGGTGCTCCTCTGTTAGTGCATCTGTAAACCATAAGAAAACAGAAGCACCAACACCATACTCCTCATATTTTTACCTTGATAGGGTTCGAACTAACAAATGTAACCTAGACGAGTCGCCGCACACTAAAATTTGTATCCAAAACGAATAGGCTTTCCTCTTATAAATTGTTTGCATTCGTGTCGACCAAAGTATTGAATTATATCCCCAGGAATATAATCCCCAGGAAACATTTCAATTCAGAGTTTGTCAAGCTTAGGTTTACACCCTTAGTTGAAGCATATAAATTTGAGTATGTTACAATGAGTTCCATGACATTGTCATTTAGGAAAAGTTCAAAATGTTCTGTAGGAGTTCTTACTTTGGTAATTGGTAACTGAGTAATTCTTCCTGATATGGGTTGGACATTTAGATCTGCTTTTTCCCATTTTCGTACAACTTTTTCAAGCTTTTTCTTCTTTGTTAGAGGTGATTGTTGCAAAGTAGAAGAAGTCGATGGAACCCCATCTGTAGGAGAATCAAATTTAGGGAAATATGAAGGATCATCTGGGTCAGAGTCAGCATCAAAAGAACCATCCTAAACAAGATAAGCAGGTGCACGCAGCAAAGAACCAGGCAGATTATTTATTGTTTCCCATCTTCCTCACCGGAGTCCTCATCAGAAACAGACGCTGTAGCATTTTCAGGTGGTTCTATGATTATGGCACTTGCTTCTATGTTGTCACACGTCTCTAAAAGATCAGTTAACTCATATAAGGCTATTTCAGATGTCTTGTGTCTTGGAAAATTATTTCAACTAAAAAAATATGAAGAGAAAATATATGCATTCTTGTGGTAGTGGTTTTGCCTAGTGTTCCAAAAATGGAACACTGGAAATTTCAAGCCTATAACTAATTCAAAACTAATAGCTTTTTTATTTTCTTTCTGCAGTAATAAAGAGTAACTGATTGAATAATAACACAATTTTTTTTACAATTTTAAAGTATAATGCAACAGAGTTATAGTTATCTGTTTATAGATGAATCTACAAAAACCTTGACGAAAATGAAGACCAAAATTTCACAACATCACAGCAGCCAAATATCTGCAGGAGTGACAAACTCTGTGTTCTAAGCAAAACCATATGCCCTTACAAACTGGCTGACATCACAAATCAAACCATGTGTGCGACCCGAACCCGTGGGCTAAAAATAACTTTTATGTGAGGGATGTTCCAAAAATGGAACAGTAGGCATAAATGGGTTAAATCAGACGTGAAAATTAAGAGCGAGAAATGCAACAATTTTCTCTTCAAAAATGCTATACTTCTAGGAGAATTTCATTAAGTTGTTGCTGCAAGGTCTTTAATGCATAACTATGAACAAATCTGGAATACTCCTTTCATTTTCATAATTTCTCTTTGTATATTTAATCATTTAATTTTATTTTTATTCAGAATAATAAACTAGCACTTGCATAAGGATTTCTTTATGAATCAATCTCAGTTTTAATAATTAACTATTATGCTTCTGATGTGGTATCATTCATCAAGAAATTAATGAACTTAAATATATAAGAATTAGTTTTTAATAATTAGTATAATTCTGCTATAGAATATAGACTCCCAGAGACACACTTGAATCTATACATTACAAGAAATAATTTGAATGTTACACGCTCATATGTTATATAAACAGCTTTGGTTTCCTGTAAATGAATACCTGCAAGTTTTACTTTTAGTATAAAAAAAGTTAAGATAAAGAAAACAATTTTAAATACCTTTCTGAACAAAAATATTCAGTTTAAAATATCAGATTTCAGTGTAAAAGAACAGTCCACACTAAATGCAGAAAGCAATAAATTTAATATGTATGATCAATTATAGCACCCTTTTCATCTGCTAGAGACTGAACAGAAAATTTTTTGTTAAATAGCATTCACAGGTTTTGTCAAAATTACGAATTTGTGATTATTTTTATTTAGCAAAATGTTTTCCATTTAATTCATTCCAACAGTAAATTTAATATGCTGATAATAAAGATTATTTTTTCAAAATTTCCTCTAAATTCTTAAATGTTTGTTTCTCAAGTGAAAAAGAAGGTTGCTCTACTGTAGATTGTTTGCACTTTATGGAAATGTTTTGATAATTTTTATGCATAAAGATCATATGTGGCAATTTGCTTCTATCTGAGCTCTAGTTCAAATTTTCTACGAAAGTAAATTTTTACTTAACATTGTCATCTCAATTTTATTCAACTCCACTTGCGTCATTTCAGTCCGTTCAAAGTTCTTGGATGCCATTTTCCGACATTTTGTTTCAACAAACTGAAAGCATGAAGTCCCTAGAAGAAGCATTAGGTGATTCACAGGCATTTCATTAAATGGAATACATTTTATACTTGTTTTCTTAGACTTTCTTTGCTAAATGAGCAGCAGTTGCTGCATTTAGTATGGGCTTTTGTCCATACGAAACCCAACTTTACTGTTGTACTTTCCATATAAGGCTGTAATTTGTTCTTCAAAAATTGGTTCTTATTTGTTCCGCTGATAGTACAGTGAATGGAGCTTAGCCTCACCCTAAAACACAAGAAGCTCATTCCTAAGTTTTAATTTACCATTGTAAAAAAATCTTGCGATTTTCATGGATCTCAGTGGGAACTTTTTTGTACAGCGATGAAGACATTTCTCAGTTACTTTTGTCAGCTGAGCAACAGAAAATTGATCTTTTTTTATTATAGTCATTTAAATATATTATGTCTACCGGAAAGTTCCGTTTAATAATGTTATTTCAAATTTCTGCAGGAATATGCATACTCATTTAAGACATATATAGCTATCTCTATTTACCTTTTGCATTTATGCATGTGGGCTCTTCTAAATTAACTGAAATAAAACTGTCACGTATCATTATTAAGTGAGAGTGTAAACATGGTTACCAATTAAGTTCATTCATGATACTATATTCTGTATGAATTCAAACAAGGAAGATATGCTATAGAATCATGTCGAAATTTAGCTAACTTTTTGGTAGAAATGCAGTTTCAGGTAAAATGTGCAAGAGGTGATTTGAAAAATTTAAAGCAGGTGATTTTGATCTTAATGATAAGCCAAGCTCTGAGCAGCCATTTTTAATCAATTTATTTTTAATAATTTTTAATTTTTGACGATATTGTCCAGACAGTAATAGAGCAAGATCTTTTTTTGACATTGGAGATTGCAGAAAAGCTTAATTCAGCTCAACTATTTCAGATCATATTCCTCAACTTGGATTGGCCTATAAATATTCCATATAGGTGCTTCAAGTGTTAATTTGCATGATCAAGTTGTCATATGCCCATTTCTGCTTTCTCTGAACAAAAAAGAATCCTTCTTGGACCAGATGATAAAGCGGTGATGAAAAGTGGATTACTTACAAAGATATCATTAGCAAAAGAGCCTACTGTGAGCATGGACAACCTGCCACTTCTACCTCTAAACTGAGCTTCAGCATGAATAAAAGAACACTGTGTATACCATGGGATGTCCAAGACCAATATATTTATTTAGTAGATAACATGTTCACCAAGTATCAAATGATTAAATTTATAGACTTCTGTGAAGTGTGGTTCCTTCCAGAATCAGTAGCCACATTAGCCGCCCATTGTTGGAGATCACCGCTGCCACATGCCTCGGCATTGATTCAAAGAGACTTTGGATGTGTTCTTGGGGTACAGCAGACCAAGCAGCTTCCACACTTTGCCGAAATTGATCTGGTGTGGCAGCTTGGGATGTAATCTGGTTCAATCATTCAGCAACCATGGATCCCATGTTTTCTATCAGCGAAAGATCCGGAGAGCGAGCAGGCCAGGGAAGCAATTCAATCTGGCGATTGACGAAGAACCCTTGGACAATGCGTGCCACATGTGGTCACACATTATCCTGTTGAAATATGGCTGTGGGCAAGCCCTCAAGGTAAGGAAGGACAACTGGCTCCATAACCTCGGAGATGAACACTGGCTGTTTAAAGTACCTGCAATGATGCGTATTAGAGGAAAGCGAGAGGGATATCCAATACCGCCCCATACCATAATACCTGGTGCAGGACCAGTGTGACTGTGCATAATGCAGCTGTTCAGCATCCTCTCACCATGATATCTCCAGACTCGAATCCGACCATCGTAGTATTGCAGACAGAAGCGTGACTCGTCAGTAAAGACAATTTCATTCCATTCTGCCATCCACATCTTTCTTTCATCGCACCATTGGGGTGGTGGAGAAGTCTGTGGTTCTGCGTCAAGGGTAGACGAAGCATTGGACGTCTTGCGGACAGATCACTCTGCTGTAAACGGCGTTGAATGGTACGCGCAGACACTGGATGCGTTACAGAAGGAATGTGCTGTGCTATGGTTCATGGTGTGTCTGAGCAATCCGTCACTGCCATGTGCACAATGTGCCTGTCATCACGTGAAGCGGTGCACTGAGGTGGATGCGATCGAACATATCGGTCCGTAATACCCTCCTGCATCCAACGGTCACATATCCGCATTACAGTTGTTTGGTTTCATCCAACATGACTACCGATTTCTCTGAAAGATAATCCACACTCTCGGTAGCCATCATCCTTCCTCTGTCGAACTTGGATACTTGATCAAATGATGACTGCTGTTTACTACGAGGTATAATTGATAATTTTTTTGAAAAAAACCACACTCTCGGTAGGCACCATCCTTCCTCTGTCGAACTCGGATACTTGATCAAAAGATGATCGCTGTTTACTATGAGGCATAACAGATTAAAAAAAAAAAAAAAAAAAAAAAAAAAAAAAAAAAAAAAAACATAAGAAAAAACACAGTTGCAGAACTTGAAATTGTCGAAAACTCCAAGCCTTAAATAGCGCTTTGAAGTGGACACTGTGCGTCTGAGCTGAAATTCTAATCATTTGCATATCTCACCTCCGCTAATGCATGTTGTAAATTTTATGTTATTTGCATGTTTCCTTCAGGGTGTTGAATTTATGGTGGCCAGCAGTGTATTACAGTACAAAGTCCGTAATCCGCACTCATCGGGACTTTGGCGATTCCGGATTATAGATCATCAATTTAAATGTGGTAAGATGGCATGTAGAAATTATACAATTAAAAATATGAAACCGTAATTTATGAAATAAAGAGCAATTATAATCTAAAGGGTATCAAATTCTACAAAAACAAAACAAAAAAAAAACTTAAATATTTATTTGTTTACTTTATTAAACATTTCTTTCAACACGCTCATGCGTAAAGCATAATGTATGCGCATTCTTTACGTGCAAGCGTAAAGTTTGTGGCTTTGAGGTCCGGATTATAGATCATTCCAGATAATGGACGTCCGGATTACGGACTTTGTACTGTATGAAATTTTGAAACCTAATGAAAAGCTCAATCTGGAATGACACTGTCAGCTAAAGGATGATTTAAACAAATCAGACAAAGAAAAGAGGCCAGCAATGATCAGTAGAATGTACATCATACTGCATCACGATAATGCAAAACCCCATGCTGCTTTGCGAAAAAATCATGGAGCTAGGCTGAGAAATTCTGCAGCATCCAATATACTCCTCAGACCTAGAACCCTTCCTGTTATCCCTCATTCATCTCTTTCCAAATTTGTTTAAGAAAAGAAATTCAAAAGTGAAGCAGATGTTAGCTAAGCACTACTCGAGTTCTTTGCCTCTCAGGACATTTTCCAGAAACGGTATCAGCAAAATACCATCAATGCTGGCAAGATATCATAAATAATGATGGAAATTATATGTACAATATTACTATTAAAGGTATGAAAATGAAAACTTCTGTCAGTGAATTTTCTAATAGATCTTATACATATTGTTACGAAATGTACAGGCGAGGTGAGATAGCTTCTCGTAAAGAAGGTTTAGGGTTGCCATAAAATGGTAAGGAAAGGCAGGGATGACACATTTGATGAGAAATCACCCGTTTAGTGACAAAATTGGCGATATGCCATGGACAGATGGAGAATCTCCTGGAACAAATTCTTACCGGTTTATGCCAGAATGTTCTCAAACACAAGCCGAAAGCTATATGAACCCTGCTGTTCCGCAGTCAGAGAGTGTGCCTCATCTAGTGCAAGATAGTGTATCTCGAGTTGGTTAGTCCGTGCAGAGCTGATCGAGTTGACAGCCGAGCAGTGAATGCCGAGTGCATTGAAGAGTCTCTTAGTGCATTGCGGTTAGTGCATCGTCGAGAGTGTGTGTTAAGCTCCAGGAATGACTGACCTGAAGAGTTGGGAGTTGTGCTCTGTGTGTCGTCGAGTGCATCGTGAGTTGTAGCATGGAGAGACTCGAGAGTACGTGGAGTTCCAAGAATGACCGAGCAGAGTTGAGAGCAGTACCCTGGTGCTTGCAGGGAAGCTGTATCCACCGTTATAGCTTGATAGTGTGAAGGCTGTGTCGCTGATTGTGTCAGCATGTTTATAGTAGTTCTTGGACGACTGTAATGTGGTTTTGGAGCTGTCCTGATTAATATTGGCTAAATAAAGTGTTCGATATTCCATCAAGTGCTGTCGTCGTTATTCACACCAAATCCATATGAACAAGAAGGAAGAAAATAACGTAACAACTGGTGTCAGAAGAACAAAAAATGCAACAATATACTGTATACATATATGATTCATAATAATAAATTTCTTAATGATAAATATAAATTAAAAAAAGAAAAATATATAAAAATTATGCAATTTTACTAAAAGTAATATGTAACTGGAATTTTCTCTATATTTACCAGTAGTATTTAAATCTTCTGAAACAACAGCATGCAAAAATCCAATCATATCAAACTGTACAGAATTTCTTTGAAGTTCAGATACAAGTAGATCTTTCACATTACCAAGTGCAAGCAAACACGCTTCATGTATTTTCCACCTCAAAGCAAATAAAGCAGAACATATATTAAATTCCAAAATCAACTTAAATTACAAGCAGTTTTACACGTTTCCAGTAAATATGCTTCTATTACTTTTAGAAAAACTTACCACTTTTTAGAAAAACTTACCACTGTGGGTTAACATTTTTGTCAGCTTCATGAATATGTCGAGTAACAGCATTACACAAACTCACAGCAGTTTCATCATGAAATTCTTCTCCGAAAGCCTGCAATCATATTTTTAATGAAATTAAGAGAAAAAAACATGATGCAAATGTTCAATATAATCATAGAATAATGCATTTTCTGCTCTTAAAATTTTATTTACTTTAAATATAATAATTTGCATATAAACACTCCCCATTTTATGAACTTTCACATATATGAACAGACTGTTCGCAAAGAGTGGAATTTGTTTGTCCCTCAAATAAATAAATAATTTAGAAAATGGTTAATGAAAAGAGAAAATCAAGTGTCAAAAATTGACAAGCCATTTTGTTTGAAACAAAAATCCTTCTAATAAAAAAATTTGAAAGTGTTGAGAAAATGATGCAAGTTACATGTTTGAATGGTATGAATTGACTGATGATTGAAACAATTCTTAAGAATTCTTAACAAAAATTGCATAGCTGATACTGTGGAAGTTTCAGCATCAATGAAATCAACAGACATGATGCATTTTGATGAGCAACAGAGAGAGAAGCAGCCAGTCCCAGTTAAAAAGTTTGATACAAAATCAATGGTAGTAGCACTTGTTACATTTTATAAAAGCCTGAATTTTTTTCCGGGGGGGGGCTGAATTTGTTCAAAATAATGTTCAAATTTTGAGAAATTTGCTAAAGTAAAGTTAGCTGTACATGATGCCATACAGTGCTATCATAGTATTTAAAAATAAAACCTGTTTAGACATATTTTCTTAAGAAAGAAACATCAGAAAATGCTGTTGCTGGTTCATATAACATGACAATTTCTTCCTCTAATACAACCTCCTCATCACAAATGCTCCTTTTACTTGTTGATGAGTCTTCAGAGTCAGACTGAGTCTTCAGAATCACCCATGTAAAGATCAACTAGCTCCCTCAGTACATTCCAGTTACATACTGTAAAATTATTTATTTATTTATGGCGTACTATATTTAAAATTTAAAATTTTTTTATTTGCTTCAGTATTTTTAATTCTTCATTTATCTGATAGTATTTTTAGCTCTTATGCTGTGAGCAGCATTAGAAGAAATGCACAGTGAACATAAAAACATTTTATAAAGGAATTTATAATTTGAATATGCATTTAGAATGTAGCCTGTTCATTAGGTGGGGAGAAATATATTCTTAAACAAATTTAATAATTAAAATGTTCTACCTAGCTTTTAAAGCACAGAAATTAAACAATTCTTTGTGTTCTTATGTGTACACCCCTATATATTTTAGAAAATATTTACTGCTGATTGAAACTAGAAGCTTTTAATGAAACTGAAAAGCTATAACTTTTATTACTTATTATATCAAATATAAACTCAACCTAATTTTATTCTTTGAAAACTTAATCAACTAATATTTTTCAGCACAACAATCCTGACACATTGTTTCAAGCAATAATAACTGCCTAAGTAAATATCTTTCAGTGTAAGTTTTATTAACTTTGGAAATAAATTATCAGTAATAACAGCCCTGGATTGATAATTAAAAACCCTTGAAACTGCAAAACACAATATAATCTTAAGTACTGAATTTCTAGTTTCCCTAAAACTAATATTTATTTACAAGTAGTTACATAATATGAAGATAAAAAGATTTCTATTTTTAATGCCATCTTTGAAGAGTACAGAAATCTGGTCAAGGAATATGCACAGTTTAAACTTCTTCACAAATTACGAAATTCAGTTGTACACTAGTCCACCAGATTTCTTCACTTGACTGCTTTCTCTTTCTTACCTTCAATAGTGTTCTAAATTCAAGCTATTGGGTCAGCTAATGTTTCAACTGTTCCCAAATGTACTAAAAAATTAACATGTCAAAGCAGATGGCAGATCATGGCATTTCAAACCTTGATTTGAGAGACAAATAATGTATTTCTTTTCTCCAATACAATTTTTCTTTCCTTTCATACTGTTATTAATTGCTGCAACTAAAAGCATGCATTTCATAAGTTTTAGTTTCCTTCCATTTATGCAAAACAATTTTTAGTTATTTTACATATGCTCATACAAACAAAAGTAATGTGCTTTATAAATACAGTACAAAGACCGAAATCTGGATGTCCATTACCCGGAATGATCTAAAATCCGGACCTCAAAACCACCAACAATGTTTTTCTCATACACTTTACGCATGTGCATTTGATTCCCCTCCCCTTCCACTCATAATAAAACATCTGAAGAGTCCCGATTTTAATTTCACTTCGACACTAAATAAAATGCCGTGTTATTGAAGAAACAATCATTTTAGTATAAATCTGTATGATCAGTAATTTGGTTTCTATGCTGCATATCTGCTTGGCATACATCTCAAACTGAAACATTACACATAGATACATTGTTGATCTGCCGCCAACCTGACGAATCATTATTTATTATACTTTCCTTTGATCACTGCATGTTTATCAAAACATGACAAATTGAGTAATGACTTATGTAGCGATGCCTAAACAATTTCTTTATGTTAGTAATTGAATAATAAAGAAATGTGGTAACCTTTTCTGTTGACATTACGCTTTACGATGATTACAGATTTAAGTTAAATGCGCTAAAAAATGTTGACAAGGAAGAATTTAACAAAAATTTCTTTCCATATGCTAAAAATAAATTTTGTTGATGATACTTATTGTTAGCAATTTCCACAGTCTACCGCCAGATGACGTCATGATATTAAAAGATATTCAAAGCATTTTTCATAAAAAAAATAACAAGGAATGTAACCACGGCGACAGACGATCATGCACTTTTTAAAAGAGCATTCAAGTATTTCGATGATGTTGGTTGTGAATTTATGTCCTGTTAAATAATAATGCAAAATCAAAAAGATACGCATGGCGGATGTAAGAGAAAAATCGTGACGCCAATAATTTCAGAAGCGGGATTGCAGATGTCGATATCAATGTAAAGTGACTGAATGCCATTGAAGGTCTGATGCAAAAATGAAAAAGGTAAATGCTTTGTTTTTACTCCCTTCTGAAGTTATTAAACATATCAATAAAACTATTAAACATATATAGGAAAGCTTTTAAACATATTTTTGAAAGCTATTGAATGTATCAATAATAAGTATTAAATGATTAAACCTATATAAAAAGGTAACCTTGAAGATGTCTTTTCTTGGCAAGGGATGCAAAAGCGATCTAGTTGGAATTGCGACGGAAATTGGGGAAACGGTTCTACCAGACGCCATTGTGATTACGATTAAAAGCATCATCACTAATAGTAAAATTATGACGAACTATTTGTAAAACAAGTCTTTGAAAGAATTATCGAGGAAAGACTTAAGAAAGAATAAGATGAAAGATTAGAAAAACAAGCACAATTAGAGTTTCAAGAACGCGAAAAACGAATACAGTTAGAAGTTGAAGATCGGGAAAAACAAAGGAATTTTGAATTACAAAAACAAAAGCTTTTAAATGAAAATAAAATAATGTCCTAAATGTCAACTGAAAATACAACCACACGAGAAAACAAAAAATGTATCTATTTGAAAAGTCTTATGCAAAAATTCGATTTAAAGGAAAAATAAAGGCCTGGGAAAAATAGTTCATCTTGCAGAAAGGAACTGTGGGGTTTCGGAAATCAAATCTGTCCGATAAAATGTCTTGGTGCAACATTTGCAGATTTAAAAATTGATGACGTAGTGGCAAAACATATTCCGGTATTAATTGTGTGCCAGATTCAGCTCAGCCAGTTGACTTATTGGTTGGACGAACGTTCTTAGATTTGCCACATATTGCATATGCTAGAGTCGGTGATGCTTTGTATATCGGTTATGCAAGAGATTATCCATTTATTGGATTAGATTGCATTGAAGAAAATTCGTGTGTTAAATTACAAGTGGATGAAACAAAGAAAATAATAAATAACAGTGAAAATTTTGTAAAGGTAAAAACTGAAAAACAAGTATTCTATCCTGCGACAAACTATGAAGTTGATTATGCTAACCATAATATGTTCGAAGCAAATGTAACAAAAACAAAGATTTACACCTCTGCAGTGGTGATAAGACCTATGATTGGAATACGAAATATGATGATCATTTTCATGTTAGAAGCAAAGCTGATTGTTCAAAACCCTTGTATAGAAAAATACCAACTATAAAGCGAAAGTCATTTCCAAACCGAAATGACAAAGTTAAAAGTGATGTGTCTTATATTCCTGAGAGAAATTTTGTAACAAGGAGAGGTTACCGTTTGTATGGGATGCGCAAAAATGATTCAGATATGAAAGAAGAATACGAAAAAAGGTCTTCTGATAAAGCAGGTTTAAACTCTATGGATGAAAGAAAATTACCAGAAAGGAAATCTGAGGAATGTGCAATTGAAAGAAGAATTAGGCAGCCAGAAGAATTTGCGTATTCAGCCCAAACGATGAGTGAAGATAAGTCCCTGCAAATGTCATTTTATTTGGAAACCACGCACTGAGAAATAGAACATCAAAGCCAAGGAGAAGTCATATTACTCAAGCTGAGAGTAAAGAAAGAGTACTGAAAAGTTTTACCTCATTAATGCTGAAAGAAGTAAAAGAGCAGATGGCAAATAAGATGAAGAAGTACTACTATAAGAAAAAAAAAAGGAGCATGTTAGAATGTATACAACAACAACCCACGTCAGCTGAAGTATTGGCATGCTAATAACCTAGATGAGTTGGATGTAACACGTGAAGCTACAGGTAATGTAAATTTTTTTTTTTTTTTTTGGTATGTCTTGAACCTACAAAGAATACTGGAAAAACTTCATTAAGAACTTTTTTAGAACTTTTGTTATAGCACTTTTTACTCCTAGAACTTTAAATTATGATTATACTGTGCACAAAAATGTGGATTCTTATGGTATTGACAACAATGTTTGTTTTAAAAAAAAAGCGACAATTGAGGGCAATTTTTTACTCAGGATGCCCGAATGTTAGCAATTTCCACAGTTTACTGCCAGATGGCGTCATGATATTAAAAGAATTTGTCATAAAAAAATAACGAGAGATAAGGAATTTAACCACAACGACAGACCATATTGACTACTCATGCACTTTTTAAAAAAGCAGTAGAATAAAATATTTCAATGATGTTGGTTGTGAATTCATTTCGATGAAGTTGGATGTCCTGTTAAATAATAACACAAAATAAAAAAGATACGCATAGTGAATGTAAGAGAAAAATCCTGACGCCAACAATTATACACCCAAAGATTACATTTAGGGCTATTTGAATTAAGAATAACTGATTTGCTATTCACATAAACAAATAACCAGCACCAGGGCTCGTATGGCTGCGCCGAGTGGTAGAATTTAGGACCCACAGAGACTGCGTCAGGCAGTAACATATCTAACGCGGCCCTAAATAAGGCTTAAATATATGTGGAAATTTATTTATTCAGAATTCTGATAAGCCTTAAGCATATGCAAGAAATAGACTTAAGTATAATAAGTAACTAAACTAATATAAGTTAGGCTTAATTGTTTCAGTGCGCAACAGAAGCAAGATAAAATTTAACAGAACAACTTGTCGTTAGCCGCCAAGCTCATGATGCATAGCCAAATATGTATAGTGAAGGATAGCTAAATTTGATAAAGATAGCCGCTAATTTTAAAGTTTTCCGGATATCGCAAGACAAAGGTGAAATTCTCCAATTAACGTATTTTTTAAAGAAATGTGGAAAAGCGGCAATAAATGAAGATGATATAAGTGTGACATGCTTCTCGATCATCAATCAATTAATGAATGCCAAAATCTGTAGTATGGGTCTATATCCAGAAAATACTGCTACCGATAGTGAAGAAAGTGGCAGAGAAGTTACTGAAAACAAGAAAATTTCGATTGACAAGTTAGTCGGAATTCTCGAAATAGCACTTATAGAGTCGGAATTCTCGAAATAGGACTTCAATAATGTAACTGAACAAGAGATTATATCTGTCTACAGAATTAAAGAGAAAGTATTAGCACAAAGAACGAAGCAACTTACACAACTTACATTGAAAGCAATGTTTAATAAAGTAAACAAATAAATATTAAGTTTTTTTTTTTTTTTTTTTTTTTTTTGTAAATTTTGTAAATTTTTCATAAATTACGATTTCATATTTTTTAATTTTAGAATTTTAGATTTAAACTGATGATCTAATATCCGGAAAAATCCCAAATCCGGAATTGCCAAAGTCCCGATGAGTCAGGATTTCAGACTTCGTACTGTATTGCACAAGCTCTGCATATTTAGTGATATTTTGAATGAAAAAAGTGTTAAAAAAATTACACGTTTGTGACTATATTTTTGAAGAGGAAAAACTTCTTTGAAAAATAATTATGCTAAATGCAAAGTAAATAAAGTTTCTTTTAAATAGCACAATCAGTAAATCTATGGAATAAGTGTAAGTAGCTGCTAATTTACTAGTGGAATAGGCTGCTAACTTATAAATAAGCGTGTGAAATACAAGTATTAATACTGGCTACTGCTTGTATTAATGCTGGATATAAGATTAATTTATAACAGGTGTATTTATAACATTTAACATTAATTTTGCTTTAAGATCTCATCTTGAAGCTCTTAGATATTAGCATAAATGTTACAACTATTACTCATGGTGATTTTTGGCACTTGCTAACCATAAAGAGCAATCTGAAGGTACCATAAAGTTTAACAGGATATTATGTTACTAACATATGAATTAATATTAATGCTAAGAGATTGAAAAGTAACAGAAAAAGTAAAAATTCAATAATTCAAACAGTAACATGATGCAATTTTTGCGCACAAAATGATATGCAAATTTCTGTTAAATTATTAAAGTTTTTACTGGCAGAATAGCAGCATTTTTCACTGACATCATAATGTAAGGCATATATACAGTTTGTAACATAGCTAGGATTACAAATGATCAGTGGGACAGCCATCATTAATAAAAATGGCTATCAGATCTGGTACAAATTTCTACATAACACTCAATTCAGCGATCATTCCTGTCACAGGACAGCAAATAACATATTTCAGTAAAACCAATAACGGTGACCAACTTCTGTACCAATACTTCCATGTAGCCTCATAACAAAAATTGCATAGTGAATAAAGCAGGCATGCAGGAGGCCACAACCATCATCAAATGCTGGGCAAATCTGAGGCACTTCATTCTACACGAATGTTAGATTATAAAGCACTTGCTTCTCTCACAAGGAAGGAATGATGCAGTCTCTAAAAAAAAGATGCATATCACTTGACTATAACTGCAACAATTTGAAATACACTATTGTGAACTTTAAAAAAAGGGGCTTATAATAAATGGCAGACTGAATTTACCATAGGTTGCCATCTTTGGCTGGCACAAAGGGTTTCCACAGTTGCGCATGGGGTCTCATCCGAATGCAAAGGTTGTGTGAATTTACATTCTCATTATGTGAAAAGTGTGCACCAGCACTCCACAGGACATTTGACAGGCATTCCTATCTGCTGAAATGATGTTTCAGGTACTGCTCACTGAACAGATTGTTTCCATCTACTGAAAAGCGCAGCTTGCAAACTGATGAAGTTTTTCAAAAAAAATTAGTTGGTTTCAGATGCTGTACATGTTGGATTTTGTAGGGTATGTCTTGAATATGATCCAGAGTTCATAATTTTGTGTGTCAGAAAATATTAATATTAGAAAATACCTAAAATGCTATGTTGATTGAAAAAACTATAAATGTTTTTTTAAACATTTTACTGGTCAATTTTGATTAAAGTTAAATTTGTAGCCAGTCCTTAAAATTCCTAAATAAAATAGATTTCTTCCGACTTTGTTTAACAGTAAAAATATTTACCAACAATAAATCTTGGGCTGATATTCTGACAGAATATGCAAATGAATCATCATCTTCATCTTCTACAAACTGATCAGGATTATTACTCCACATTTTGATCTGAAATTGAAAAATACCTAGATAAATATGTTTATTGTCTGCAATTTTAAAATTTGTAAAAAATTCTCAACTGTAATTTAATCTAATCAATTAGATCAGATTTAGTTTGAAATTTTAGCTCGAGTTACACAGTGTATCTTTTAAAAGAAAATATTAATAGCAGAAGTTTCTCAAAATACGCCATGTACTCTATATATTCCTTTTGTATTTATGAATAATTTAAATAACATATCAGACACACCTGGTTTCTTACTACATTGAAATGATCTTTCTCCCACTTTAAAATTGCAAACTTTTTTTTTTTTTTTTTTGCCTATAATGGCATTGGCCTCTACTAAGGCAAGAAGTGATGGCCATTTTATTGTGGAGGCACCCAATAGGTGGCCACTCTTAACTCCTATGAAGGGACAGACAATTTTACATTCATGCCATCTCTGGGATTCGAACCTGGGCCTTTTGGTATTGCAGTCAAGCTCCCTTAACCACTGTACCATCTGGGTGGGCGGCATATCGCAAACCTCAACTTGTCAAAATGCAGATCCTGTTTCAAATTACTGTAAGATTAACATATCAGTAATATGCTCAAGCACTTAGGCAGAACTCAAAAGTTATTTTATTACACAGTTAATCTCAATTATCGAGAATAATTTCATGTACAAAAAGCATTTAGCTGGATTTTAGTTTGCACCAAAATAATTCTAGTTCATATACTGAAATATGAATATTGTTACAAATTTTGTATTTAGTTAGCTATTTTTAGTAGAATTGTAATTAAAATTGTTTCATTTCCCTGTGCAATGCAGCATGTGATAAATTTTAAGAGAAAGCTATGCTGAAAAAGTAAAAATATAAGAGCACATGCATTTAACATTGAATAAATGGACACCTCTTTTATTAGTATTGAAACATATTAAATGTAATTGACTACTATGTTAGCTGTTACTGTAATTCTACTCTTCTGCTTCCCAGAAATCTCAAGAAGCAAAGATATTACTAGAATCTCTCAGGACCAATTTAAATCTAAAAAGCCAGACAGAAAACATCTCATCTCAATTGTTTAGTTAGTTGCTGTTGTTATTTTTGACTGGATTAGCTTTTTCTGTGCTGCGGATTTGTTCTAGTTAACGTTTTAGTAGTTTGAAGGACAGCTACTGATTATATTGTGTGATATTGTACGAATATCTCGGAGGGAAAATCAGCCATTCTGCTATGTTTCCTGTGATAAGAATAGATTTTATTAACATTTTATCGGATTTGTGGATCGAACTATCGGATCTGTAAGCTGTGCGGACTTGTGCATTCAATCTATTACGAACGCAACAATGTATATATATGTACCATCAATTGCAATATCCCTTCATAGAAATCTGTAAGCTGACGAAAACTAGAAATTCGAAACTTTGTAGGTGAGTAGTACAATGGGTGAAGAAATATAGCAGTGATAAAAAAATTCCATTTTAAACAATTAAAATAGGAATTTGAAACAAAAAATCTAAAAATACGAGATCTAGGAGCTCATCATTTTGAAGAAGATCCAAAGACTCACCTACATAGCACGCAGTTAGGCATAAGACAATCATTTTTAGACTATGTAATACTATATATATTTAAATGCATCTTTATGATTTTATGTATGATTGCACACCAAAGCCTGTTCTCAACTTTGTTTGGTAAACATTATGTGCAATAAAAAAGAATTGAACATTAACTTTTGATTTTTCAACAGGCTATATATTAGCCTGTACACAGATATGAGCTCTTTTTCCCTGTACCTTATAAATGATTTTTTCCACTCTGTTAACAAAGCAAATAATTTCACAGAATACTGATACTGAACATTTATAAAAGAGGTTACATAGAATTTTAGTCATTAAATCAGTTTGTAGAGGCATTAGGTATTTTTTGGAAGCCGGAGAAATGAAAAATAGCAAAAACCTTCCCCGGGAATCGAACCACGGACCTCTGGAATAAAAACCCAGCATGCAGAAGCACTACACGAAGCCATGCTAGGAAAGCGAGAGAAATACATTATAAGTTAAAAAATCTGATGTTTACACCACATGACTTCCTTGTACGGAATATTAAATTATATGCATTTTTTCTTGCATTTCATTTAAACTTATTGAATTGAATTAAACGTACTTCGCCGACAGCACATTAACCACAATAGAATAAATGCATTCTTTAAATTTCACTCTAGTATTTGTTTACCATAGTGACACTCTGGCGCTAGATGCACTTAACAGTATTATGTTTTGTTCATATTATAAATCATAATGCACAAAATTTATATCATTTAAAGAACAGAATTATCTAATCTTTGCCACATGTTCTATTTAAATACTATAATAAAGCTAGAACGATGTATAAAAGAAATTAAGCAAACAAAACAAAAAAGAAACAGTTTTTCAGAGACGATTGAGTATTTCTCATTCAATTAATTCAGTTCTCACTTCGCGAGAAGGCAAAAATACACAAAAATTCAAAATATCTATATTAAAAATTACGAAGTAAATCTTAAACACTTATTTCCTCGAAAAAATTCCAGAAAGGATTAAGCATGATTTAATTGGCAATAATAAATGAAGGCATTATCTTTGTTGTCGCGAAGCTAAGTTTCTCTAGATTGGCAACAAATCCACTGGTCTGCTGTTTCAAATGTAAATAATCAATGGCCGCGATAAAAAAAAAAGGCTTAGCGGCACTTAAACAACTTTAAAATTGTTGATAATTCTAAAAATATTCCATACAGATTTAATAAAGGCATAAAAACCTTAACCGGAAGATAAAAACAACATAATTCAATAATTTTTAAAGCAAAAAATGTACAATTTACAAACATATAAGAGTAAAGAAATTGAGATCACTGAGCCGGGTAACAGAGAGGATATATATATATATTTATATACGTTGGGTGCGGCCGATTGCAACCAAAATACGAGGTGCACATCTACATGTTATAGCAGTCCTATATACAAAATTTCAAGGCTCTGAGGCTACTCATTTTTGAGTTATAAGAGATACGTACGTACATACATACGTTCATACAGATGCCACGAAAAATTCTCTTCAGAATTTATTTTAAAGCAGTTTTATAATTTTTTTGCAGGAAAAGAGTCTTTTATTCTATCCTTATGTACAGATATCATGCAAAAACATCACTAAATTACATTTGATAGCGGCCAAAATGGATATTTTCCGCGATTACAATACTTCCTTTTTACGAAATTTTAGCTACTACCATAAGTTTTTAAAAATATTTTTAAACATTAAAAAAGGTTTAAAAGTTGATCAACTTTTAAAAGCTTTATACTATTCAATACTATTTTATACTATCCTGACATGTTACACAAAACTATTAAAAAAATGGTACTTATGTATTAACACAACCACCTTGGTGCAATTTTTTACAGATGAAAAGGTAAAAGCTACTTATCAGATGCAACTGGTGGTTTTCCTGCCTTTTATTTATTTATTTATTATTTTTTTAAGGTTCCCAAACTACAGATATTTATTATATGTTGGTAAACATTATTGACATATGAAAGAAAACATAATTTAGCAATTTAAAATACAAATTTGAATTATTAAATAAGAATTACGTGATACATTAAAAAAGTAAAATGCACTCTTCTTCAAATTTTTTGTGCTATTTTCTCTCGAAGTACATATTACTGTTTTCACTTAAAAAAAATCAGAGAACTGAGGAGACTGGGCTTTGTGCAATTCTTCGGCTATCTAGGAAATGTATTTCCTTGTTGATCCCTCTAGAAAATTTTCAGTAAAATTCTGTATTGCTGCTGAAATTTTAATGCAGATTTTTTCATTGTTGCCGAAATCCTCAAGCTCATATTTTAAAATTAGGTTTAAGGCAAAAAATACCATGATTTGTTTATAAAAACTTTTGGCACTTGGAATACAACAAAAAGAATGCATATAAAAATGGTGGCATTGCTTAACTGAAGAACTATTATGAGCATGGTTGCCAGAAGAATGGTTAGGCACAGGATTGCCAGAGTTTGGCACATTCTGAAAATTTGATGACATCTACTAGAGTGGTTGTGTTTGCATTAATATATAAGTACCCAAAAATTCATCTTTGCTTCTATAATATATGATTCTCATACCACAGTAATATGAAACACTTTATTTATGTGCTTCTTAATTTCACATTGCCTCGACATAAGAAAAACTAAGAAAGCTTTTTTATCATTTTAGCCACCAAGCCTCCAATGACATCATGTATACCTTAACAAATAAAATACAGGAAGACTATCAAACAAATTCTTAAAGTACTAAAAGAATAGTACAGTTTCTACCACAACCATACATAGTGAAAATATTAATAAAAAAATAAAATATCACTGAACGTCAATAGGAAACTTTAAATTGAATTTTAGTTGCTATTTCTATTTCTTTTCTTACAAAATATGCATTTTCCTTTGACGCATTTATTTCCAACTCCTAAGATTATATTAAGTATCCTGGACAAGTGTGTGATTTATATAACTTGTGGAAATATTTAGATGTTGAGCATCCTAACCGAAAATGATTATCATAAGTTTCATTTAGCTTCTGTTTCACAAAATTTCAGATAATGTTAAGAGCACAAAAAGAGTTAGTATTTATGCCATTAGATGAAATATATCTTCTTTACCCAGACATAAAGTAACATTTGCCAACACAGATAAACTGATAAAGGTATGCCTTCTTGCACTTTTCTTGAATTTATGTTTGCTGAAACAGAATGTTAGCTTAAAAACTCACAGATATCAAATCAAAACTGAATCTGGTAATAAAATAGTTAAAAGTAGAATTATTTGGTTGCTATATACAACATCTCTGGCTAAAATTCATATTTAGAATAATTTATTTCAATATTATTTTTATTCACCAAAACGATGCTATTTTTGCAATAATGTACTAAAATACTTCTCAAATTTTTTTTATTTCATGTGAGAAAAATTCAATTATATCACTGAACATAACATAAAATTTTATCCTATATTAAATTTAATGTAAATCATTTAAATTAATTGCAGTCAAAATTTTGTTGTAATATTAATAAAACTGTCTTCTTCACACCAGTTAAATTGCTGGTTTAAAAAATGTATTTAAATATTTGGCATATACTTAGTTTGAGATAAATTGAGTCAAGACTTCTACATAATAATTTTCATATATTAGTTTCTCAGAATGTGATTTTTTTCTCCTTTTAACACAGTAAGTTATACGATAATTGAAAGCATTTTTCATGTCTCTTGCTTCTCTAAGCAAAAAGAGAGAGAGAGAGGGGAAAAAAAAAAAAAAAAAAAAAAAAAAAAAAAAAAAAAAAAACCCTCTACAAAGCGTAAAACATCAAGAAATAAGAAAATATAAAGGACAACTTTGAATATTTTACTTAGGCATGGTATATTAATACCATTATTTCACTTACTTGATCCTCTGTCATTTGCATATATAGTATTACATAATAAAGCAAATCTGTCATTCCTTCTTTCACATAATTTCGATACTTGGAAGACTCCACTAAGGCATGAATAAAGTCAAATATACTAAAAACTAAGTTCTCAAAACCAAGGACTTCACCTGTAAAGAAATTTTATTTATGACAGGATGATAATTTTAAATACCTCACTGAAAAGGAAAATCAAATTTTAAAAAATACAATTATCAGCAACTTACATTTAAGCCAAATTGCTTTATTCACATGCAAAGAAACTGAAGTAAAATTTACTTCAACTTTTATACATACTGTACTAAGACACTGTTATAATTTCATGCACATGTGAAATAATACATAAATTTATCTAGGATAAACTTGCGTCTCCTGTTAAAACCTGGTCACAAATATTTCATTTATCAACAAATCTACTTACGATAATAATTCCATTAATCAACATCTAACAAGTTTCAGAATTTAATTAGAAATATTTTTTAGATACCAGCAATTTACAAATACTAGGACCAATTAATAAAACAAAAAGACATTATATTTCAGACTTACCATCAGAATCAACAGGATTGTCTGCATCTTCTGAATCATTTACAACTGTACGTACATATCTTTTAATAATTAAGGTTAAAATTTATGCAAATATTCACCATTTTAAGAATATTTCACTGACCAATAAAATAACTACTGAAAAGTTAATGTTAATAAAGCAAATCAGGAATTTTTAAAATATAAGAAAAATTTTAAACATTAATGTGAAGCTAATTTGAAAGTAATAAGAAAAACATGACCATAACACTCAAATTGATTTTAATCAATACTATTCACATTTTTTTTTTTTTTTTTTCAAAATACCTTCCTTATACATGTTATGTATGTAATTCTAAACAAATCATTTTAAGTTTTAACTTCCCGCAAGTACTCAGTTCTTGCTGCGTATACACTCCTTTTTAGACTTGGTAAAATGTACTTATCCTGAGGTATCTAAATTATTACTAGCTTCAACTATGCGAGCTTAACACCATATTTTACATGGTGTCAGTTTAATTTGGCTCACCCATTATTTTTTATTTGCTAATCACTAAACCATGACTTCAGCAATTTTGTGAATGCCAGCAACGGTGCATAATATAACTAGATTGAACCATTTTCTCCTGGAAAATAACCCAGCAGAGGCATAGTCGAAATGGTAAAAAAGTTATGAACTTTTTTAAATAACTCTGATATATCACAAAGAGGATGATGAAACTTGTGTTGCATTACTTCCCGAGCACCATCAGCAAATCATCATATAAAGACTCAGATTTTTACATTTCCAATGCTTGCAGCAGGACAGTGAAAGAAATTTTGTACACGTTTGATGAACATTACAGGCTATATCACAATGTCACACTGATGACTTCTGTATTTAATAGTTTAGTTCAAAAAGCTGAACAGAACTTTGATTTATTTGTCATGGAAATCAAACTACAGGCTGATCAATGTGAATCTGGCACAGCTTATGATCATCTGATACAAAGCTAAAAGATAATGTGCTTAATTAGAATCTGCTTAGGAAACCAGACCTCACTTTACAAAGAACTATTAAAACTTGCAAATCAGCCAAACTCTTCCAATCCATACCTGCCAACCTCTAAAGATAAAAATTCAGAAAATTTCTCCAAAATTCAGAAGAACACGAAGAATTAATATCATGCTTTGATATTAAAAAAATAACAATTTATACAAATAGAAAAAAGAAATTTGTTCTTACATTAGTAAATCTCAATTACGTAGTAATTAAAAAATTTATTAGGAAACATAAAACAAGAACTTAATGTTACACAAAAAAAAAAATATTGCAATGAATTTAGAGAGCATTTTTTGGCTTTAGCTAAAAATTCTTTGGAAAATTTCCTGTCATAACAATTAGTTTCCTCATAACATTTAGCAATTAAAATGTTTTCTAGAGTTTTTGGTGAAAATGAAGAACGAAACATAGTTTTGTTTTTCTTCACAACACTGTCGCACTCAGCATTACTGTGTGGAATTACAAGAATAGCACATAAAACTCTTGCTAGTCTATCATATTTTGGTGTTCCATCAGCTCTTTTTATTCTTTTTAAGGTACCAACGAGGACATCAAGTCTGTCTTCTCCAGAACTGGCAAAGTCTTCAAACTGTGCAGCAGAAAATTGGTTCTGTAGTTCATCCAAAGCATCATTATGGCATTCATTTTCTTTAATTGTTAACAAAAATGGAAATTTATCAATAAAAAAACGAATCTTTTCAAAAGATGAATTTTCAATTTGCCACTTCAGCATTTAAAAGAACTTCATTTTGCAAAGGAAACTTCCTTACAATGTAATCACAGGCTGAGGAAAAGTACTTTCTAACACATTGAAAAAATTCTTTTTTCTCATGATCTTTCAAAGAATTTACAAGTTCCCTGGTTTGATTTAAAATTATAAGATAACGCGAAAAAAATAATCTAGCGCCCACAAAGAAAAGAGTGGGAGAAACAAGTTCAGCACATTGGATTGGCTGGTTAAGCGGGGAGTTGAGAGAAACCGCAGGTTACTGGATTCGAGGTAGTTGGTAGTTGGCGGTAAAACACGATGCAATTGGCGAAAAATTCTAAAATTTCGACAAAAATCACCAAAAACACTTAAAAAAAAGGGAAAAAATCATAAAAAATGGATTACTATCGTAAAATCGTAAAGACAAACACATTTTCGTAAAAATTACAAAAAATTCGTAAAAGTTGGCAGGTATGCCAATCGCATTTGCATGCTATGTCACAGCAATCTACATATTGTCACAGGTTGATGCTGTAAGTCACAAGAGTGGTAAAAAAGGTCAGAATATCAAACAGCACAGCCATACTCACAAGCAGCTAAATTAAAACAATTCCCATTTGTGGCATGGTCCGACTTTGCTCACAATGTGGCTCAAGACATCAACCAACACATGGCTTGGCTTATACGAAGTGATATAATAATGATGAAACGCAGAATAATTTTTTCAGAATTTGCCAGCAAATCAGAAAACAGCAAGCATAAGACAACACCATCAAGTTTCCTAAATTCAGCAACTAGTAAGCATGACTGGTTACAACAAATTAGTGTTGATGAACACCCAGTTACTTTCAAATTGGATACTAGTGCACAGGTAGATGTTTAATCTTTTTCTATATTTAAAAAATTAATTGAAAAGTCTCACTGAACGTCAATATGTGTTTATATATACACTAGTGATGCTTTGCTAATTGTTGGTGAATGTTTTCTTAAATATTATATAAATAAGAATTGCCATCTAATAAAATTCATAATTCTAAATTTGGATGTAAAGCCAGTGTCCAGTGCAACAAGAAGTATTGACTTAAATTTAATTCAATGAATTAATCAGTCAACTAAATATTCTGTAAAGAGAGTGCATGCTAATTTTTGAACAACTGCATCATGTAACTGATAAATATAATACTGTGTTTGGAGAAATGGGTTATCATCCTGGCAATCATAAAACTGTACAGGGCTTGTACCTGTTATAGCTGCTACTGTTGAGATCTCCCATAGAGGGCATTGTAGCACCCCTCAACTGTGTGAGAAAAGTTTCAATTTGAGTGAGAGTTGGCGTGGGTTTTGAGAATGTAGTGTGAAGAGCTGTGTAACGCGTATTTGCTATGTAACCGTACTATGTAATATAATGTAATTAAATGTATTTATTTAAAATGTGGAGCAATTTTGAAGGAGCAGACTTCACATTTTTTTGGAGCCATCAGTGAGGACAGAGTCGATCTTGGAAGCTGTGGATTCTAGTGGTTTAATTGCAAGCTTTGTTTGGGAATTTGTGGAATTTTGCAGGAAGTGAAGGTAGGCTTTGTTTTGATGCTTTGTTTGAAAATTGAATTGTTGTAAAATGTCGGAATTACCTAAGTTGAGAAAGGAGCGTAGCGCAGTTAGGTTTACGTTAACCAAGTTAATTAACAAAGTTGAAGCTTTTATTATGGAAGATTCTAGCGAGATAGATGTTACGAATAAGGTAGATATTTTAAAGAAATTTCGAGCCCAAATAATAGATAAGGACACTAATTTAAAACGATTAAACGATGAAGTGAAAAATTTTTGTAATTGTGATGATATGATAGAATAAGAGGAAGAGGAAATTACTGTGTCAGAGGAATATTCAGAAAAAATTATCCTCTGGAAACAAAGGATAACTAATGTAATTGATAGATTAATGAAAGATGAAATGAATATTGGTAACGTATCCTTTTCTATTCCCGCAACTGCTCAAGGTACACTAGAAAACCAAACCTTTAGAGAAACCAAAACAGTTAAACTTCCTAAATTGATAATCATTAAATATTATGGTGATCCTGCTTCTTGGTTAGAATTTTATAACCAGTCTGAAAGCGCTATTCATAATAACAGTAATCTTACAAAGATAGATAAATTTAATTATTTAAGGTCATATTTAGGGGGTACGGGCATCTAATTGTATAAGTGGTTTTGCGTTAACAGAGAAAAAGAAATTATGATGCTGCTTTGGATATATTAAAAGGTAGATTTGGTAATAAGAATACCCTTATTCAGACACATTTGAATGAGTTACTTAAAATTCCTATTATTAGAAGTATAAATGATTTAGCTGGATTGAGAAGGTTGTTTGGCAAAGCTGATACTCAAATTAGAAGTTTAGAGCTGTTAGGAGTTGAAACAAAATCTTTCAGCACTATATTGATTCCCATTTTGTTAGAAAGAATTCCAAAAGAACTCGTTTTAGAATTCAATAGAACGCATCCAGATAGTGATTGGAATTTTAAGGATCTATTTACCTTTCTAGACAAAGAGATATGGTCTAGGAAAAGGACATATTTATTTAGTAGAAAAACTGAAAATTATCATAATTTTGGTAATGAATATGAAAGTAATTCTAAAAAATTTGAAAATAAAAAACTTAATACTAATAGGAATATATCAACTGCTAGTGATACTACAAATGTTAAAAGAAACTGCATATTTTGTAATAGCAAAGAACACGAATTTTGCGAATTTGAAAGTGTCACAGAAAGGAAAAATAGATTACTAAGAGATAATCGATGTTTCTCAAAATTCCATTTAGCACGATTCTGTAAAACTAAACTCGACCCATGCAAGAACTGCAACAGCTTAGCTCACCACTCTTTGCTATGCGAAAAAAGTAATAAATCAGCTGAAGTTGAAGGAGGAAAAGAAAAAGATTCAAATGCGGTGACTCGGTGCAACTCCTCTCAGCGGGGGTCAAATGGCAGCGCTTTACTGCAAACTTGTACTGTCTTGGCTTGTTCGAAAGGAAACTTTAAACTATGTCGGATGTTAATGGATAACGGGAGTGAAAGATCTTGGATAACAAAATCTCTCGGCAGCATGATGCCTTAGCCTTAAAACCATTCGAAAGGAAAGATTGTCAGTTTATGCTTTTGGGTCTACGAAAGCCATAAATAAAACTTACAGTGTAGTAAAGTTAACATTGAGGAATAGGAACGATCCTAAGAAATATATTGAGATAGAAGCATTAGTTACTGAAATGATTACTGCCGCACCCATTGCATTTCCCAATATAAATATTCAAAATATTTTTGAGCAAAAAA